TGCCTCTGGATGGTTCAAACCAGCAGTCAGCCTTTTCTTTCACCTCGCATGCTTGTCACAGATGACAAACGTAGGAAAATGGGTCACAATTGGGCTTAAGAAAGAATCTGAACATTTAGCCGTAAAAGTATTGCCCTCCTTTATTTATAAAGAAGTAACATATTGCATGGCTCTGTACACTAAAGGAAATCAAAAACCTAACTGAACATTAAGTTTGCATGCGTGGTTATCTTTAGTAATTGTTTTCACTTTTTATTTTTTGCATCTTAGCACTGCTGATCTCTGACAGCCTCTTTCGAGCACTGTCTGCATTAACTTCAGCAGCAGCTTCTTGTCATTGCTCAGGGTGGGCTGATGGTGACAAAAGCAGAACGTGCCTGCTCAGTGAGCACAGACAGGTACACTTATAAACCTTCACTGGGATGACGTGACAGGGAGACAATGCAAGAAAGCAATTGAGACACATAAAAAGAGCATTGTCTACCCATAACAGAACCGGCCTAAAAAAGGAAATTCATGGCAGGATTACTCGGTATTATTTTAATGACAGCCATCAATTTAATCACTTCCCACTGACCTGGCTCAATTATATGGCCTCTCCATGAGTGGGCTTTAATGCTGAGCGGCTGCAAGTATGTGGCCCTAGGTACCCACATGGAAGAAAAATATATTTGAAATGTATTTTAAAAATATTCTTCCAAAATATATTGACATATATTTGAAATGCTACAATTTTGGCCATATTCAATATATTTCAATAAAGACACACACACACGTTGAAATGCATTTTTATTTCAAACTATATGAAAAATATTTTTAAAAATACTGTATGTCTTAAAATACAAATCTACATTTTTGGAATGCATTTACAAATATATGTAAAAATATATGTTAAAATGATTTTATATGTTAAAAAAAAAAATCTGAAAAATATATTTAAAAAAATATATATATTTTTAAAATATATTCTTCAGATTTTTAACATATAAAAAAGTGTATATATATATATATATATATATATATATATATATATATATATATATATATATATATATATATATATATATATAAAATTACGGCGTCACCTACCACTACAAAATATCCCTTCACATACTAGAAAAATCACTCACCCTTGATAGTGCAAATTGTTATGAGAACTAATATGCCAGTAAACCCCCCACTGTAACATAACGCTGAACCTCAATTCCCAAAAATGAACACAATACACAATTTAATATTCAAAATAAAATAAATGAATAAATGAAACGTTATCCCCAAATACCGTGTACAATCACTCAAAATTATAAGTCAATTGATAAAATCACTTCAACAAATCAAGTGTCCAAGATCCAGCTTGTCACTTTCTTTGGTGCTGAGCCCCTCCACCGGCTCAAAAAAGACCGAAAGTACCTCAAAAAAAAGAGGAAACAATACATAGTGTATTACCATAAATCACCACTATATATTATAACTTCCACAAAAGTGTGCAAAACTTGAAAAATTAGTGCCAAAATCATGAACACTGTGCAAAGTGAAATGTTGGTGCGTCGCTCTGTGAGTACAACAAAAATAAGTGACCACACAGGTGTAAACTTCTATAGTGGAGAAGCATATATACTCTTACCAGAATATATAAAGGAAAACGCCTTAAACATATAGTAGGAATCAGCATACATTCACTCCTTTCCTCCACTCCGGAAGCATGCCTCTTAGGATGTCATCCTAAGGGTCACCCCTTATGACTAAGTCCCGGATGTGACGAAACGCGTCGAGTGAAGTGATGTTGGATGCAGGAAAGGGACCGGAAGTGGCGTGTTGGCCATTTTTAGTATTGGCAAAACCGCATTGGAAAGCTGCTCGGCAACCCAGAAGGGTTCTGTGGCATGGGAATAAGTGATTTCTTATCTTAACGTAAGCAGATCAAATAAAGTTATTGTATTATCAAAACGGTATTACACTATATATATTTATCTATACATTCAATATATGAGTATCCTGGAGGCTTGGGAATGTTTGTCTAAACCATGGGAGTGATCAGGAGGATATGGTGGATGACATCCTAAGAGGCATGCTTCCGGAGTGGAGGAAAGGAGTGAATGTATGCTGATTCCTACTATATGTTTAAGGCATTTTCCTTTATATATATTCTGGTAAGAGTATATATGCTTCTCCACTATAGAAGTTTACACCTGTGTGGTCACTTATTTTTGTTGTACTCACAGAGTGATGCACCAACTTTCACTTTGCACAGTGTTCACGATTTTGGCACTACTTTTTGAAGTTTTGCACACTTTTGTGGAAGTTATGATATATCGTGGTGATTTATGGTAATACACTATGTAGTGTTTCCTCTTTTTTTGAGGTACTCTCTGTCTTTTATGAGCCGGTGGAGGGGCTCAGAACCAAAGAAAGTGACAAGCTGGATTTTGGACACGATTTGTTGAAGTGACTTTATCAATTGACTTATAATTTTGAGTGATTGTACACGGTATTTGGGGATAACGTTTCATTTATTTATCTTATTTTGAATAATGGATTGTGTATTGTATTCATGTTTGGGAATTGAGGTTCAGAGTTTTCTTACAGTGGGGGGTTTACTGGCATATTAGTTCTCATGATATATATAAAAAAAGTATATATAAAAAAATTTTAAAGATACACAGTATATTTGAAATGCATTTTAAAAAATATTTTTCATATATTTTGTAAAAACAAAACGCATTTCAACATGATATATAGATTATATATATATATATATATATATATATATATATATATATATTCTATACCAAAATTGTAGCATTTCAAATATATATCAATATATCAAATATATTTTTCTTCCATATGGGTAAACACTTTGCTCTGCTGAGGGAGTGCTCCCAGCACAATAACGAAAGGTTACAGGAAAGCTCCCGATGCATAACTGAGAGCTTTCCAATCATGTGACCGATGTGACGGCCAGTCACAGCTGGTACATAATCGGAATGCCCGCCTCCACCTCCCGCTATTTAGATCCTCTTAAAGGGCTGGAAGACAGCAGCAGGAAGGGGTTAAAAAGATTTTATATGAATGCTGAAAATATATTAGGTGCTATTTTAGATTTACTGTAAAGCCCAACTGCAGGAAACGGAGAGGTCCTCCTTTTCAGTAGGACCGTGTCCAAACAGCAGGGGTTAACTGCGTATTTCTGTCTAGGGCATGGTAAAAGCGGCTTTACCTGATCTTCTGCTTTCTAGGCAGATGGCACTTCCCTTACACTCACTCTGGCAATGGAATGTCTCACAACTTCCTAATGTCCAATGCAGGTTATGAACCCTACGCTGGTCTTGATGACATCAAAGGGCCTTAGATCACCAGAGTTCAGGGGAGAAGAGGCTGCAGAGCTAAGTAAAAGTGCAGAGGAAGCTCAGGGGTGGATTCATGGGTAAATTAAAGCACTGTACCCAGTCCCCATACACATAAACAAGCAGTTAACTCTTGCAGAGCAGGAGCAGCATCACTGCAAGGGAGAACTTTGTTTTCCCAGAGCTCAGCTTTAAATTAAAAAAAAAACAAAACAAAAAAAAAACAAGAGGGTACAAATTACAAACTCCAGACAAAGTATAGATTATAGTAATTCAGCAGGGTTACCTATGAAAGATTCATACATTTAACTGTCTGGTAACTATTCAGAACTCCGGATCTCTAGTTCCCAAGGCAACATACTTGCTATAGTTATAAGAAAACTGGCATTTTATTTATATAAAGGAGAATGCAACAAGCAAGCAGAGATAATCCAAATGAGGACAGAACATTGAAAACTTCATTGTGGGCAGGAACAATGACAAGTATCTCCCCACTGGAATCCCTATGCAAGGCCAGATGCCACCTGCAAATCAAATAATTTTGGGTGGACAGACTTTTATGCATGAACTTATAACTGAATTCCAGGATTTCAGCAACTTTGTAAATAAAGGCACTCTATGAGATAAGTCTAGCGAGGTGCTTGCCACCTCTTGGGCTTATCTCTATTATTTATTTCTGTTCATTGTGCTCCAGCAGCATAGCTTCCGAAAATCCAACGCTTGTCTCCGACCCTTCAAATGTAGAGTGTGCAGCTACTATGTCTCCTCCTGCCTAATAACAGAAGCCTTTGTTATACGTGAACGCCTTCACAAATACAAAGGCTTCTGTGAATGGGCAGCAGAGGGAGTGGGCAGGCATAGCTGCTTTCTGTACTACTCTCTCCATACACATGCCGAATATAAATAATAGAGATAAACCCATGTGTCAGGATGCGACTGGGACTGTGTGCCTGAACTTTTTACAGAGTTGCTGAATTCATCTTAAAACTAGCATACCTGCTGCCCCTGAAAGAAAAAAATGTTTTGCAGTTAGTAATGTCCTCATTTTTTTGTAGCACCCACTTATAAAGGATTAAACTGATGCCTAAGTCGGTGATGCAGACTAACACTAGCATTGCACAGCAGCCACCAAAGGGTGCCAAAGCAAGACTTTACTCCCAGAGCACCACATTGAAAACAAACATCACAGTATGGGAACAAAGGGCACATCCCTTCTTCAGGGTGGTCAATGCCTGATCAATTTCAACACCACAGCACTGGCATGTAGATTTAAGTCTAGGCAAACGCCAACTTGTCAGCATCTATTAAATCAAGCTAAGGGCTCCAACAGCACTCTGTGTGTGTGGCTTGAAGCTTTTCCACTGAAGAATATATTGTGGCACCTTCTAGCATATTCTATGGGACCACTGGCCTACTGCTAAAACCCAGGAGAACCAAAGCATTAATAAGTGGGGTCAAAAAGCTAAAACCTTTATATGCCTGTGTATGCTGGGCGTAGTAAACTAGCCTATTATGAATGCATATAGTTTCAAAACTGAAAGAAACTGTCAGTTGTGTCTTACAGTCTTCATTATCAGTTGATATAGGTCTGGTCCTCTCACCGTATGCATAGTATAAGCATTCACTTTCCCTTCCAAATAATACAAGTTTACTTACATTGTTATTGCGGGTTTCAACTGCTGGAAATTTCCGGACAATGAACTTGACAGCAGATTCCAAGTTTTTATCGATCAGGTAAGAAGGCTTGGCTTTAGGGTCCCCACATGCCTAACAAAAATGAATGTGAAAAATGTGAGTTTAGTCTGCAGTTTTAATTTTTTGAAAAAGAAAAAGAATGTTGTTCCAAAGTGAAATGAGAAAATAATAAAAAAAAAAAAAAAAAAGGCAGTGTGAGGGTTTTCGTAGCTGGAACCAAGAATGGAGCGGAAAGAAGATAGATGTTCTCCTACATAGAATAAAAAAAAAGTATGGAGATGTTTAAAGCAGTGTGGAAAGTGCTGTGGTAAAACCTAAATAAAATAAAATATTTATACAACATAAAGTTGAAGTAGAGCTGTCCGCAGCAAAAAAGTAAAAAAAATGGTAAAATGAGCATTCAGAAAGAAAGAACAAAATATTTAGCTTTGGTTTTGATGCTCTGGTGAAAAAAAAAAAAAGTTATGCGTTCTTAGGACTGTAATAAAAACACTCCGTTTTTATGTACAGTTAACATAAAAAAAAACAGAAGAACAAGAACAAAAAGTTTTGGTCCACGCATTTTCATAATGACAACTCCCTAGTTGATAATAAACTGTTTCAAATGCTTCTTGTCCACCTCTTATCCCACCAAACTTATGTTGGGAACCTCACAACTATACTAAATATTTTTAGCCAAATTTTCTACCAACCACTTGTGCCGGTTGTAGAATCGTAAAAAAAGTGACTAGAACCAGTGTTCTAAATAGCTGGCAGGGAGAGAAGAAGCTCTAACAATGAAGTACATCTTGTCATCTGGTATGAAGCTTTGTTTCCTCTTCCAGCTTTCATTCTGCTGGTCTTCTCACCAGCCCATCAATGCAAGATATACTCAGCTCTTCAACAATTATATATAATTTAGAAGTTGGAAAAAGTAGAAAACACTCCAATAAGCTCATGGTAGTCTCATATTTTAAGTTTATTTTAATACTGGCCAAACCTGCACTACAGTGTACTAAAAAAAGAAAAAAAAAATATATAAAAACAGGCATTGCCTGCTCTCTTTACTATCCAGTCTACTACAAAGTAAAAGGGCAAAAAAAGTTAAGTAGACCATAATGCACGGACAAGGATTAGGTTTTCAAGACAGGAGTTAAAGAAAAATGCTTTTAAGGGTAGATTTAGGCTTGAGTCTAAATCTCCCTTTCCTCTGAAGTATGATCTAAGTTTAGCTCACACTTCAGAGGCTACTGACAGGTGGAGAGAAAGTGATGAGACACCTCCTCCCGCCTGTTTTAACTCTATTTTGGCAGGCAAAATACACCACGACAGTGTGCATTGCACATTGTGCTTCCGGTGCTTCCATTTGCCTGAGTATGTTGCTACATGCCCGGTAGACCTAACTCCAGGTGCACGCCCCCATCTGCTTCTGCCCTACAAAGCTTAAAAAGGGTAATTGGGGGGGGGGGGGCGGTTGGGGGGGCCTGGGCAGTTGGTGGGCAGCAAAAAAACGAATCGCTGCGCATTTTTGCTGTCCCTCAACTGCACATCTAATCTTCACATGACCGATGGGGTCCATTTTTCAGGCATCCCCGATCGGTCCATCCATAGGACTCTATGGACCAGCATGTGTCAGTGGACAATAGTCTGCCAACACCCGCCAGCTTCCGATCCAATCCTGTATGCAAAAAAACAGACAGATGAGGATTTGTTCCCCATCCGTCCAGCGAATCAGATTGGATGAAAATCATGTTTTAACGGACAGGTGGTCTGTTTCCATCCGATCGTCCTATTGAAATCATGGGGCAGTGTCTGACCTGTCATCCGCCTGCTCAGTGAGGATCAGTGGAGAGAACCCCTGCTGAGCAGGCGGATCACAATGACTGACACTCCCAGTCTGAAAGGGGCCTAAATGTTTTAATGGGTTGTTAAAGTTCAACTTTTCAGGAAAAATTAAATGGTGAAACAAACATGGTACACCCCCACACCCGGTGTATTAATTTCCATTGGTGCTGAGCTGTCCATGCCATGCAGCCGCTGTAGCAGTCTGGGTATTTGCCCCCTCTTCTCCTTTTTTTTTTTTTTTTTTTTTTTTTTTTTTTTTTTTTAAGAGCTTCGAGGATGGATCAGAGTATTTTTAATTGGTCGTCGCCAGAACAGAGGATCATCCCAGAAGCCCTACAGAGAGAAGAGCAGGGATATCAAATCCCCAGTCCATTGCACTGGCGGCATGGACACTGACAGCTCATTACCCATGAAAGTAAGTACGGCTGAACTGATGGGGAGTGGGAAGGGTGTATGGCATTAATTCATTTATTCAGAAAAGATGAACTATTCCTTTAAGTAAGCTAGTTGCACACAAAACAGTTTTGAGCTGCCTTTTAGAGAAGACAGGATGGTATAATTTAAATATTCTTCACTAGCACATTTCTTTTATGCGAGGGAACAATTTGCTTACTTGATGTAGTTTTTCAGTTTTTGGGGGGGTTTTTCAAGCATTTTTTGGAAAGAGCAAGATGCTCAATTTATTATTTACAGTCTGTATCCTGTCCTGTTTTAGGGATTTTTCCATACTTGGAATAGAAAAGGAAGTGATAAGAAATCTCTCCAAAATGAGGGAAACTCTCTTCTTAGTTGTCACTGAGGGAGATGTTCCTCACCTCTTGTTCTGAGACAACTATAACATTTTGGGTTTACCATCAGTTTCTGTCCTGGATAAAACAGTCCACAGGAGAAAGAGGGAGAATCCAATAACCTTCAAGTGGTTAAATAGATAGAAATTAACAGAGGTTGTTATTCTTCCCTACCCCATCCATAAAAAAAAAAAAAAAAAAAAAAAAAAAGTGGCTATACAAAGACTTCGGGGTTTGTAGGTTTCATATTGTGTTTGATTTTGCCTTAAAAAAAAAAAAATCAATCATTTGATCATTATCACACCTAATCAATAAGTCGTCCTTCATATAATGAAAAAATACAATTGAAAAATATTGATTGTTCCAATGAGGAGTGTTAGAACTTCTATCAAGTTTTTAACCGCATGTCTTCTTGTCCTGATGACACCTTTTTTTCCCCATTCCATTTTCTTGTGTCACTGACACAAAAAGTGAGAATCTCCCTAGTGGGGTAACACAGCAATGAAAGACTGAAATAAATTCTAGTTCATCCTTGCTGTATCCAATATTTTAGCCGATGTTGAGTGGTAATGCTCCATCGCATGGATGTTTTGCCACACTGTGAATCCTAGTGGCAAGAATCTAACATATCCTGCTCCTGAGATTAACATCTGGTCACGGACAGCTGCGGCTGACAAGCCGGTATAGTGCAATAAAAGGCTGTTGGTGGCCGCAGCTACTTGTGACGGTTCCCACAGCCATTTATTTCTTGTGATGATTGCGGCTGGATGCACTTTGTGTGCAAACAATGGGCTGCAACTTGTCATGCAACTTCAATCGTCCAAAGTCGCACTACAAGTCGCACAAGTGTGAACAGAGCCTTACTGCTAAAAAGGAACCTGATCTGTTCTGAGCAATTGCCCTACAATACAAAAATGACAGATCTGATCTTTTTTTCTTAAGCCTCATCAATGATCTATCATTTTCTCTGAGCCAGTGAGGGGGGATGCAATATTGATGCAACAGTGAACCAAGCTAGCCTTGAGCAAAAGGAATATAAAATAGTGACTACTGTTCTCTTAAACTGGATTACACCCAAGCCTGGGAATAAAGGTGGGGATAGGGCTTAGCTAAAGGAGGGGGTCGAGTTAGCAATAAATAGTTCATTAAAAAAAAAGTGAACAACCCCTTTAATAATTCTAAGCTGATATATCCCACTAACCAAGAAGCACAAAACATAAACATATCATATGCACTCATTTTTAACACCAATAAGCAGCAGAAAGACTTTAAACTTTATTATCAAATGGGGAGAGTGAAAATAAAATGTGTGGACAGGACGTGCAATGGAGCGAGACATTTAAAGCAGCTCTCTATGCCTGCATTATTAAGCATTGTCAGCACAGTATATAATAAAGCCACATATATGGCTTTTACCTGTGCCATACTCTGCAAACAATATGTCACAAGTCTAATAACAATTTTAACATGGCTAGAAAAGCAAAAAGAACAAAAACACAAAATTGTAAAGTAAAAAGCAAAAGAGAAAAACATACAAATAAAGCAGTCATACATGCACAAAGGAGCCTGCATGCTTGGGGTGGGGGGCACATACACAGTCATTAGGGAGGCCAGTTATGGCTATTCAGATCTGATCAGTGAATTTTATGGTTGTGCTGTAGATTACAGAGAGAAGTCATGGTTTATGAATCCATATTGAAAGTGGGCAAAGGGAAGGTGAAAAGCAATGCAAACCTTCCAAACTTGTCCTTGCTGGGAAAGCATTTGAATAGAGAGAAAGAGAATTACATAGAGACATTATGCAGCTTACTAAAAAAAACACAACATTCTGCACAACAAGACATGTTCTTAAAGGCACTCTAATCTTCAGTATGTAAAAAGTCGGTGCATGAAAGAAAACATATAGAAGGTAATCATGTATTCAACTGGAGCGGTCGTTAAAAAAAAAAAAAAAAAAAAAAAATCACACTTCATATCAACAGGGCATATTCTCATTATACATTACATTATTCTGAGTGAATGAGGGAGGGGAAAAAAAAAAAGGGAAGGAGTACCCCTTTCTAGAAAAATCCAATAACCTTTGACTACCAGAAGCATTGTTTAGCACCTTTTTCAATCACACCAACTGAGACCAGGAGATATGCAGTGAGACAAGCAGAGACTGCATATACAGAGAACATAGCTGCCCTCACGTACATGAATATCAAGCTATATAAAACAAGATTTTTTTTTTTTTTAAACACAGTCCAAATTTAATTTTTTATACATTTATAAAAAACATTTTGCTGCAGTTGTTGAGGCACTGTTTAACTTAACATTTAATCCTTGTTGTTTCATAATCTTTAAATACTGAAATTCCTACATTCTGCTTTCCATGTCTAGGCAAATGATGTCATACATCCCAGAAGTCTTCAGGAGAAGAGTTTACTCAGCCAAGCACACCCTCCTGTCTGGATGCCTGAGCTAAGGGCA